TTACGGAAGCCCATATTATGATGAAAGAAGTTGAGCCCAAATAAAAGGGATGAAGATAGGTTCAGCCCAGGAGTGGTTATAACTGTCTAAGTGGTTGTAACCGTCTATAAATAGATAGAAATGAGAGGGAAAAGGAGTTAGAAAATTATTGGAAGTGTAAAGTTTCTCTCTCTACAATTGAAGAAAATTCTTTGTACTTTCAGATACAAACTCTTCAGAGATGTTTTATAACTGTGAATTCGTAAGGTAAAAGTTTTAAGTTTAATCAGCTTATTTGTTTTGGTTGCATGATTTTTTAACCAGACAATTAGACAGAAGGTAGAGTGAGAGTGTTCTTAAAAGAATGGGTACCTCACGTGTTGTTTTGTGAACTTGTTACATAAATTTCTTAACGCGTGTATCATAGACTCCTTAATGTGAACCTACCTATGTAGCTTTGTACCGCCAAAGAAGTGGGTTGGATAGACAAACATCGTCCCACTAAAGAGATGTAGGAGAGTACAGAGAGTACAGAGAATGAAAGCGCGGTATAGCGAGAGAGTTTAGAGTCAATAGAAGACTATGCATTATTGCATTTGAAAATGAAAGCTATTTATATGCCAAGCCTTATTAGCCATGATGTATACATATGTTAACTCGAGAATTCTAGAATAAGATTCAAAAAAACTCAAAAAATATTTATATTTAGAATATTTATCAAATAAATAGACATCTCCAAAGTATTCTAAATAATGTTATACGAAAATATACCGCCCTACATGAGCGTAAAGAGTTTTAGAATGTATTGTTGGGTATGACATTAGGCACACAAAAGCTCATGGATACAAAACAACAAATATCAGATAGTTGAAGAAAGGACAATTCTTGTATTGGAAGTGGTGTGGAGCAATAAAAATTTGACATCAGTGTAAAAGTTAAAAAATATATATATATTTAAAGATGTGTTATATCCATCTTTAACAGAAATTATTAAATGGTCTTGAACTATTAATACTTGACAAATCAGTTCGATTCGGACTTTTTGATTGAGAAAATAGCCTCAAAAGGACTTTTTGATTGAGAAAATAGTCTCAAAAGGGTGTATTAATATATAAGAGTGTATTAATACAGGGAACGGATCTTCTCCAAAGAAATTTTTCTCCTAACATCTCCAAGTACTTAATCCTACTAGTCTTATAATGCCATATCACCAACTTACCATTCCATCATTAATTTATCAAACTTAATTAATTAACTAATAAATATGATATCTTTTGAATTAAAATTTTCAAGATAATAATTACGCAATTTCCCATCCCGCTAAAACTTTCACTTTACTTTTTGGCAAATTCAATTGTAAGAGGAAAATATATATATATTTTTTCTTTCGGTCATAGTTGTATGATGCAGTGAAATTTATATTCTTATTCACAAATTCTTTTTAAAAAAAATTATACCCAAATTTTCAGATTTTTACAACACCCTTAATTAAATTATTTTCAATTGTAAATTTCGGAACTAATCCAATTGTAGCAAGGTAACTAATTAGATGAGAAAGGACCACGGCGTTTTTAGTCCAAACAATACCATATTTATTAACCCATAAAAAATTGTGAAATCTTTGTTGTAGTGGATAAAACTCTGGAAGGTAGATAAGATCCAAATGAGTTTTAAGTTATCTGATGTACCAAGATCTTAAAATGTTTTCTCAACTCAGAAAAAACTGTGAAATCTTCCAAACCTTAAATTGTAAGGAATAAAGATTGATGATAGCAGAGGGAAATTAATTAATAAAGATTAATTAAGGTTGGTGAATTAATGATGGAATGGTAAGTTGGTGATGTAGCACTATAACAACTGTAGAATTAAATACTTGGAGATGTTAAGAGAAAATTTTCCTCGGAGAGGATCCGTTTCCATTAATATATTACAAAAAAATTTCAATATTAGTTTTCATTGAAATATCCACCAAGTGTCAAATAGTCTAAGACTATATAATAATTTATCATCATTTATGGTTTAACCGGGTATTTCTCTCTCTCATGCGATAAACCGAAAACTCAAGAATTTCATAATCCCTAGCCTTTTCGATTTTATACTTCTTCACTATCAATTCGGTTCTTACATCGGCCCCGTCATGACCCTTTTTCTTTTATTCTACAATGCTTCCCATTTTAAGTCTGCATCAGAATCTGTGTGCGTATATATATCTATATATTATTGTTCGCACGGTTTTTGTTCCCTACGCCGGTCGATGGACTCTTCGCGGCGTGCCAGAGTATTTGTACAAAATACCCAAAATATGTAATTGAACACCAGCCTATCCCTTTTTCCGATGGCTGACTCTCAGGCGATTGTGTGGGAGAGAGACTAGTAAGAACTCCCAGCAAGGTTCTTTTATGCCTTGTTTGTAGCAAGGACTTTTTAGAGTGTCTAAAGAAATGCAACGGCTGATGAATGTTTGAATGGATGGAATGGCCGAGTGAAGACAGGCAGCAAGAACTTAATCGATCGCCGGCCGAACGTGATAGCGAGAACTTAATCAATCACCATCAGCCAAACACAATGGCAAGAATTTAATCGATCGCCACTGAAATGTGATAGCAAGAATTTAATCAATTGCCATCAGCCAAGTAATGACAAGAATTTAATCAATTGTCACTACGATTCAATGGCAAGAATTTAATCAATTGCCATTGAATTGAAAGCCTAACTAAAATTGCGTAATTAAAATTGGCATAATTGAAATTGAAAGAAAGTAAATGGCTGAATCGAAATAGTTGACGAGGATCTAATCAATTGCCATTAAATTGAAATAAAGAAATTGATAGGAAAATGACGTAGAGTCAATTGAAAACATTTTTAGTTGAAATGCATGTTTTGTGGTGGTGCTGGACCTCCTAGAATGGAATACAATACTTCTATTTATAGAAGTTCTATCTCAACTTATTTTCCTAAGTTATTGCTAGAAAATCTCTCCTTCTTTGATTCTTTCTCTTCACAATTTGAACTCAGTCAAATCCTTTTGTTATTCCGCTTCCTTTCTTGTCAAATCCTATTGTTATTCCGCTTCCTTTCTTGTCAAATCCTATTGTTATTCCGCTTCCTTTCTTGTTTTGTTTCAGTAGGAAATCTCTGTAAAAACAACCTTCCTCGATTTAATCACATGTAAGTTACCGAGATATTGCTAAAACGTTGCTAGAAAGTTGCTGAAAAGTTGCTAATTTTTAGCAACTCCCCTCTTTAAGTTTAACAGCCCGTTTCATTCCCTTAAATGGCCTAATGGTCATTTGTAACTTTTGAACTTATACGGCTATTCCTTTCTTGTTGAAATTCCTACTTCATTGGGATTTAGTTATTTATTGTAACTAAATCTCTTAAGTCTTCTCTTTTGAATTGATGACATAATTGAATTGATTCAAATCTCTACAAATATATTTAGCAACAACCTTATCAACAAAGTGGCTGAAATATATTTGCCTAGATTTTCTCCTTTGTCTCTCTATTGGCACGTCATCGCTGAGATGGCTGCCAGTTTTTGGTGCGAACAACTATACTATTAAAAGTATATACAATTTTAATTTTTTATAATATACTATTTTACTTTTCTAAATGAACTAGGTGACATAAGCGTAACGCTGCCTCATTATTATTCAACTCGATATAGATTTCATTTAGGTTTCAATCTTATGATTATAGAGCATGAAAAAAGAGATATTTATTTGATCTGCAAATTCGTAAATCCAATTGAATTGTCAATCCCATCGGTGGCAGATTCATAAATTATGAATCCACTTCCGTGAATCGACCTGTTTAAGATTATATTTTATAATCCAACCCTCTTTCTCCTCGCACACTAACAAACTGGACTCATTTAATATATTGTATAACAATTTTATTTTCTTTTTTGAAATTTCAATTTCACAACAACATTCCCTTGCATATTCAAAAGAAATCAAATGCATTACTTCGCATTGTGATTGAACCCTGTGCACTTCTATGTTAGAAGCAGGGGTCATACCATTACTCCAAACAGGAGATTCGTGTATTAATTTTAACTGATATGTGCCATACACAAACATACAACTAGTAATCTTCATTGGGCCATGGCCAAAAAAGAAGGGGGCCTATTTAGAAAAGTTCAATATATAGAACCAATCTAATCAATCTCTTATTTTACAATTGAATTGGATCGATTTAAGCCTTCATACGGTTGAATTCAATTTTGATTGTCATTAGGTTTAATGCCTATTTCGATTGGATTGATGGACTCTCATTTGATACATGTATATGTTTTTCAGTCTCGTTCCATTTTTTGTTTGGTACACAAAAAGTAAAACTGAAGAGCTTTTGTACTGAAAACGAATTCAACAGAAAGTGCAACCCAAATATATAATAAGGCAACCCATACCCTTCTCCTAACTTTTACATTCTAAACACCTCCTAATCTAATTTTCTAGATTCAAAATCTATTTCAGTTTTCTTATCAACCTTTCTTCCCCACCCACTCTCTCTCTATATACATCTTCTTCCCCCAAAATTGATAACTCTCTCCATAGGCACGTATCTATACTTTTCCAAAAACCTTCAAAGTCTATATATATTTTTAATATTTTATACCTATTATTTTCTTCTTCTTGTATTAAATACCTATAAAATTTTAAAATTACCCTACTAAAATTATATAAAAAAATTACTATTGTCCCCATAACATAGGTCACCCCTTACATAATTTTCTGGTCCGTCCCTATCTCTCTCTCCCTATCTCTCTCTGTATATATATACATAATTTTCTGGTCCGTCCCTATCTCTCTCTCTATATATATATTGTGAGATAGGGAGAGATATAAAGAGATGGCGGCAGAACGGGTGCAGGAATGTCAGAAGGCAGAGCACTTGTGCAATGGTGGAAAGAAAACAAGGACCCTAATACAGAAATCGATTAACCCATGTTTAATGGGTTTGATTTATTTTTAATCTCTTTATAACATTTGAACAATACTTGCCTCGTAGGAACTTCCTTTATCTTTTTTTTTTTTTTTTTTTTTGCAAGTAAAAATGAAATGGAAAGCAGAAAGCATCCCATGAACTACACAATGGCCGAAGCCAAGAAGGGCCCTAAGAACCTAAGAAATCAACTATTTCCTCTATGCATTTACAACTTCTCCCCTACAAGCCTCCTCCCCATCAAAGTTCTATTCCGCTCCATCCTGCCGAGTGATACCCAACAGATACGACACAAATGCAATACCCACCACCAAATCTTGAGGAAATTTTTTTGAAGAGAGTTTGTTGGGGTTGTCCAATATATGCATGGGCTAGTGTAGATATCCTTAATTTCATCACACAAAATGAAGACTCAGAAATTGAACATTTCTATCATTAACATTACATTATGTTCACAAAAGATAATAATAATATGTAATTCTATGTTCACAAAAAGATAATAATAATATGTAATTCTAGTATTTTGTCTACGTCTTACGCAGTTTATTTGCATAACTTGTCTATTCAGTGAATGAGAGAAAGTTGTAAAAACTTACAAGCATCCAGTCCAAGCAACAGTGTACTCAACTTCATCTGAACTAATACAACAGTGAACAGCCGTATCACTATTTACTCACCAAGCTCTCATCTTTTATATAGCAGGACAAATGTATAACATAATTTCGGTGTCATCCATGAACAATGTTACAATGTCTCTCATTTTCAGAATAGATGTTCTGCTTGCTAAACCTTGAGCTTGTATGTTAATGGAACGCACTCTGCATACTCCAGGACTCGAAGCACTGATAACAAGACAGTCTAAAACATAGTTAGCACCACAGTAATAAGATAAACTCCAGGATCCCTTAAAAAGAATGCTGCCATTGAAGTCATTTCCTGCCAGTTTATCTCTTTGTGATGTTCCGGGGGAGAAATATAGGGTGCAGCTCTGGATGCCGAGAAACTTTGCACCACCTGTTCTATAACAATCTCACATGGCTTAACCAATGTCATTCCAAATACACAAGGCAGCGAATTGTTTTTGTATCTCTACCATGAAAATAAAATGGAAAAACACTGTGACTCTGCTTTTACACTGACCTCATACCATCTCTGTGGCCAAACAGAATAAGCAAGGTACATACAATTTGGAAGCCAAGTGTAGTGTCACCACTAATCTAAACTGTTCCCAGCATTCATAGAATCATAATTGAAGCTGAATCAAGCCAACTAGGAAGCATCCTCTGGCCATTTCTCACTATAGAATAATTCAATATATACAAAGACAAACCCGATACCCAAATTTCCTGGACTGATTAAATAGTGCTGTCATCCTTGTTTAGCTCCAACACGTCAAGTTATCTGGACTACTTGAGTCTAACAAGACATGTCTGAGTTCTAAGGACAAAATTGAGGAAAAAAAATATGATACCTACTCCCTACTTACAAAATGCAATCCATCCAACAAGGTCTTATAGGTTTTTTCACTCATTTGACTATCCCTCTTCCTAAATTGTTCCAGAAGTTCAAAAGCATCATTACCCCTCCTGTCCCGACACAACCCTTCCAAGAGGGTTTTATAAGTCAGCAAATCAGGTGCCACGGAATTACGCAGCATATCAAACACAGCATTGGTGGCATCATCAAACCTCCTCTCTATCGCAAGGCTGCAAATCAGAATCATGTAAGTACTACTTTTTGGCATCAAGCCTTTACTTCTCATCTCCTTATACAAACCAAAACCTTGATTCACCCTACCCTTCTCACACAAACCCTTAGCTATATAACTATATGTATATGCATTCGGCTCGCATCCGTACAATCCCATTTCCCGGAAAACCCTAATTGCTTCATCAACTTGAAGACACCTAGAGTAAGCCTTAATGATCATATTCAATGCAAATGTATCAGGAATCACCCCTGAAGCCTTCATTTGCTTCGTTAACGATCTCACAGCGGGTAAATACACATAACAAACATTCAACTTATTGAATTTCCTAAGGAGTGAATTCAAGAGCAATGTGTACGTTTCTAACGAGGGTTTAGCGTCTTCAGATCTCAACATTTTTTTGTAAACATCAAATGCACGATTGAATAAAAACTTACGACCACAACAAAATCGAATCATGGAATTGAAAAGGAGCAAACTTGCGGAGCAAGCTCCTGCGATTACCTCCTCAATTAGGGTTTCGGCTTGACGATACCGCTGACCGAAGACTTGGATTTCGATGATCGTGAGGTAGGTGACGTGGTTGTGCTTGTAACCGCGTTGTTGAGCAGTCCACCGGAAAATGTCGAGTGCGAGATCGGGATCCGATTGGGCGCGCAAGGCTTCGTCGACGTCATCTGGAGTGAACCCGGGTTTGAGCTTTTCGATCCATGTCTCGAATTGCTTCTCGATAGGGGTTCGGGTCCTAGGGTTAGGGCAAGGGCTAGGGCTAGGGCTAGGGTTAGGGTTAGGGTTAGGGTTTGGGGTAATAGGATTTTGGGATGGTGGTGGTAATAGTGGAATTAGGGTTTGAGGGTTCTGTTGGGAGGTGCAGAAGTGGGTGGTGGAGGAAGATATAGAGCGTAGAGAGAGGGAAAAGAATAATGAATTTCTGAGAGTGGAGTTGATTGCGCGACGTATGGTTACTCCCATCTTGACATGAGAGAAGAGAGAAAGAGAGAAGAGAGAGAAATGCCGGAATTTTGGTTCTGGTTCGGCTCCGTTGCGGAAGGACATAAGAAAGCAAGAGAGTTTCAATCAAAAAAGCCCACAAATAATTTACTACTACCATTTCGTCCAATAAGCAGTTAACATCTTATCTGAAAAAGCCCAAATTTTTACTCATAATTTTCATTTTCTTTTTGGCAATTTATTTTTCATCCTTTTTACTGTTAAAAAAAAAAAAAAAAATTATGTATAATGAATAAGTTAATATAATGTTTGATATAAATTAGGGCTGCAAATGAATTGCCAAGTGTTTCGAAATTAGTTCATGGAACATTTATTAATTGAGACGAGTTTTATTTTTTTGATAAAAAATGAATAGATTCCCCGAATTCGGAGATACCTAATATGAGATATCTGAGCAGAGACAAGAGACACGACGGGGTTCATACTTTCACTTATTATAATATTGCATTCTTCAAATTTAAAAGACTTATTATTACTCTTTTTAAACCTACAAGAGTAATAGTATATTTCAAAGTTTTACAATAAAACCCTAATGTTGTGTTTAGTGTGCAAAAATGGAATTGAATGCACATTCTAACTATTTATTTGTTTGATGTGCAATTTAAAGTGGGAATGACTATTCCATTGGAATGAAAATCTATTTCACAACTAAACCTATGGAATGACCATTCCATTCCCAAGTAATTTTTTTTAAAAAAATCAACTTCCTAAAAAACCCTCATGTTCCAAGTCCAAAAACCATCATTACCTTCCACCACAACCACCTCCGCCTTTCACTACCATTACCATTACCTCTGCCTTCCACTACCGCCACCGCCTTTTACCACCGCTACCGCCTTCCACCACCGCCGCCGCTGCCACCTTCCACCACCACCACCGTCGCCTTCCACCACCACCACTGCCTTCTACCACCGTCGCAACCACCGCCTTCCACCACCTTCCACAACCACCACCACCACCTCCTTCCACCACCATTACCTCTATTACTTTTCACCATCACCACAATCACCTCAATTGGCTTCTACTATCGCTACCTACACTGCCACCATTTATTTTTTAAAAATTATTAAAGAATGTTATTTTATTAATTTAATTTATTTGTTACTAAGAGGGATATTTTGGATAATTCAATTTGAAATTTATTCTATTCTAAATTTTAAATTGATCCAACAAAACACTAGAATGGTTATTATCATTCTATTCTTACATTTTTTATATTTACATCCAAACAAAAGAATGAGAATAGTCATTCCATTTCGTTCTCATTCTCATTCCATTCCCACTTGCATTCCATTTTATTCCTGCACACCAAACATAGCATAAGTCTCATGAGTTTAGTCCAAAACCTTCTATTTCATAAGAGACCAAATATTAAACTTCACTACATAAGTCTATAAGGAAGAATAAATCTCACATTTAGCTGAGCTAATGAATGGAAAATTCAATTATGCTTGACCTAATTAATGTAATATTCTATCTGTTTCACTAAATATGTCCACATCAAAGAATAAATCTCATACTTATACCGGGATTGATATCTGGGTTCATGCTTTAAACTTTCCAATGGAAGCTGTAACAAAAAATGTGGGCTGTAAACTAGCAAGTCTCTTTCCCAAAATCCATGCACTCGAAGTTAGAGAATGGAAGGAAGAGGAGGTCGATTTCTTCGTATTTGAGTATCTATCGACGTTTGGAAACCCATTCGGCGAGGAACTACAGTCATGTACAAAGGTAAACCCAAATGGATTTCATTTAAATACAAGCAGCTTCCTATTATTTGCTATAGGTATGGGTGTCTGGGCCATATCCTAAAGCAATGTTCGTTGAAGGAGTTGCCGATATCGGGCTCTGATTCGAGCAATCTTCCATATGGGCTATCGCTCCGAGTAAAAGGTGTAGAAAGCCGATTGGTATATAGACTTGATAATTTGGATCTTGCCACTAGTCATTTGTCCAATGATATCCCTTCGACTACCAGCGTTTTAGGGACAAAAGCAAGCAGGTTGCCGACCTCCAATGACATCAGCCACTTTAGAAAGAGGAAGAATTTTTTTGGAAGCAAAAGAGTCAGGTAGACTGGCTTAGAGAAAGCAGGGATTGTAACTCTAAGTTTTTTCATGTTAAAACTCAGCAAATGAGGCACAAGAATTCCATCTTAGGCTTAGAAGACGATCAAGGGTGCTAGGATGAGGAGGAAAGTATTGTCTAAAATATTGCCATTAATTATTTTGTGTATTTATTTAAATCTTCAAAGCCTTCAGATCTGGATCGAGTGACTAGTTTACTGTAGCCAAAGATTACTGGCGCTCAGAATGCTGAGTTACTGAAAGTTGCAACTACTGAAGAATTAAAATCAGCCTTGTTCGAGATGCACCCATGCAAAGCTCCGGGCCAGATGGTTTCACACCCTTATTCTTTTATAAGAACTGGAATATTATAAAAGAGGATCTTGTGGAGTTTTTTAATGATCTTTTATCATCAGGTAATCTCTTGAAGAGCCTAAATCATACTAATTTGGTCTTAATCCCCAAAGTGAATAATGCTACCAAGATCTCTCAATTTCGACTAATTGCTTTATGTAATGTGGTTTACAAGATTTTTTCTAAAACTTTTGCAAATCGAATGAAGCCTTTATTGGATTGTATTATGGACATCCACCAAAGTGCTTTTTATTCTTGGCCGATTGATTCAGGATAACATCCTTGTCGGGCATGAGCTTTTGCATTTCTTGAAAACCAAAGCTGGGGGGGGGGGGGGGGGGGTTGATTTTTCTATGGCCATTAAACTGGATATGTAAAAAGCTTATGATAGATTTGAATGGAGCTTCTTATTAGCGGTGATGTCCAGATTGGGTTTTGATCCCAAATGGGTTTCTATAATTGAAGCGTGTTTCAGCAATGTAAGTTACTCTATTATTTTTAATGGCGTCTCTTCAGGTGTTTTTATGCCAGACAGAGATGTTCGTTAAGGGGATCCCCTATGCCCGTATCTTTTCATTCTCTGTGCAAAGGGTTTGTCAGCTTTTCTGATTAATGATCTTCATCGCGGTAACATCAATGGCATATAGATTCATAGAAGAGCTCCTATTATTTCTCACTTATTTTTTGCTGATGATTATATTCTATTTTGTAAAGCTGATTTGGTCGAGGTTCGCAGAATACAAGATTTACTCTCTATCTATGCAAGTGCTTCGGGATAGATTGTTAACTATGACAAATCATCAATTTTCTTCAGCAAAAATACTCTTTTGGATTATTGTGAAGCTATTAGAAACCTTTTGCTCATTCTGAGAGAAGGTGCGCAAGAGAAATACCTTGGGCTACTGGTCATCATAGGTCGTTCAAAGTTGGAGGTTTTCAGTTTTGTTAAGCAGAAAATGATCGCTTAGCTTAATAGTTGGAAAGGAAGTTTTTTATCTCTAAGCGATAAATAAATTTTATTAAAAGCCGTGCTTACAGCGATTCCTACTTTCTCTATGTCATGTTTTAAATTGCCAAAAAATTTATGTAATGGTTTAAAAAAGCACATGTCGCAGTTTTGGTGGGCAGGGTCTGAGGAGCGCCGCAAGACTCACTGGATTACTTGGGATAAACCGGTGGAACTAAAAAAGTGCGGAGGGCTTGGCTTTCATGATTTGGAAGCTTTTAACTTAGCGTTATTAGCGAAGTTAGGTTGGAGATTGCAGGTGGAGCGACAAGGTCTGGTTTATGAGCTGCTAAAAGGAAGGTATTTCTCTTTCACGGATTTCATGAGAGCTTCGAAAACTCATAATCCATCATGGGCTTGGAGCAGTATTTTAGCAGCTAGAGGTGTTCTTGAGAAACGACTGTTGTGGAAAGTTGGCAATGGTAGAGTGATCAATTGTTGGAAAGATTGTTGGATCCCTGGGAATATATCTTTTAAGCTTTCCCTATGGATTCATGACTTTTCTGTTGGATAGGTATCACAGCTTATTCTTGAGGATCCTATACGGTGCGATGAGAGGCTGATTTTTTAAATTTTTGCAACGAAGGATGTTCCATCTATCTTATAGATTCAACTCCATCAGACTGTCCAAGATGATAGGCAAATTTGGGATTATTCTACGGGCAGCAAGTTCTCAGTCAAATCTGCTTATTGGGTGGCTCTTTAGTTAAAACATCTAACTTGAGGTGTTTTATTTAATGATGTCAAAAGTAGTTGTTATAAAAAGCTACACCATTTTTGGCCCAACTTTTGGAGAATGGTTACTAAGCCAAAAATAAAACATTTCATATGGAGGTGCTTCTATGAAAAACTCACTGTTAGGGAAACCATATTAAGAAGAGGTTTTGTGAACACTGGGTGGTGTATGGTGTGTGGTCTACATATATAAACTATTAAACATCTGCTTTGTGATTGTCCAAGAGCTGCAATGGTTTGGAAGTGCAGCCCCTTGAGAGTGGAGGTTGCTATTATCAGAGGTAGTTCTTGACCGGTGTGGTGGATGGACTTGAATCAGAGATGGGACAATTATAAAGACAAGGAGTTCTTGATAGGTTTGACGGCTTCCATATGTTGGTATCTTTGGAAAGTTAGGAATGCTATGTTGTATGAGAAGGATTGGTGGCTGGAACAAAGGATTATTGACATTGTTATGAGTCAATTTTGGGAGTTTGTTAAAGCTCACCCTTCCTCCTCCATTACTGATCGAGCTATGTCTCCGGTGAGTTTGTCCCTGTTGCATATCAAGTGGTCTAAACCTGCTTTTGGTGTTTTAAAAGTTAATGTGGATGCTGTTGTTCATGCCTTTCCCGTTGAAGTTGTTGGTGGTCTGGTGATTAGAGATCATAATGGAGGTTGTTGGCAGCCTTTACTTTCTTCTCAAAGCATGTTTCAGTCCTTACAATTGGGGAAACCCAATTGCATAGAGAGCTACACCATTTTTGGCCCAAATTTTGTAGAATGGTTGCTAAGCCAAAAATAAAACATTTCATATGGAGGTGCTTCCATGAAAAACTCACTGTTAGGGAGACCGTATCAAGATGAGGTTTTGTGAACACTGGGTGGTGTATGGTGTGTGGTCTACATATAGAAACTATTAAACATCTACTTTGTGATTGTCCAAGAGCTGCAATGGTTTGGAAGTGCAGCCCCTTGAGAGTGGAGGTTGCTATTATCAGAGATAGTTCTTAACCGGCGTGGTGGATGGACTTGAATCAAAGATGGGACAATTATAAAGACAAAAAGTTCTTGATAGGTTTGGCGGCCTCCATATGTTGGTATCTTTGGAAAATTAGGAATGCTATGTTGTATGAGAAGGATTGATGGCTGGAACAAAGGATTATTGACATTGTCATGAGTCAATTTTGGGAGTTTGCTAAAGCTCACCCTTCTTCTTTCATTACTGATCGAGCTATGTCTCTGGTGAGTTTGTCCCTGTTGCATATCAAATGGTCTAAACCTGCTTTTGGTGTTTTAAAAGTTAATGTGGATGCTGTTGTTCATGCCTTTCCCGTTGAAGCTGCTGGTGGTCTGGTGATTAGAGATCATAATGGAGTTTATTGGCAGCCTTTACTTTCTTCTCAAAGCATGTTTTAGTCCCTGCAATTGAGGAAGCCCTCATTCTCAGACACGCTATGCTAAGGGTAAAGGATTGGGGTTTTCAAAGAGTGGTTTTTTAGATAGATGCTAAAGGGGTGCTTGATATGGTTCTACGCAATCAGAACTGCCCTATTTTGATGATGCAAGTGATTGAAGATATCCAGCTCCTCTCTCGGAAAGTTGACTTTTCAATCAAATTCACTCATAGAGAGGGAAACAAAGCGGCTCATTGGTTAGCCCAGTATGCTATGAGAGTTAAAAAGTCAGTCTATTTTATTTCATCTTTTCCACCCTCCTTGATGGACATTGTGGAACTAGAATGTATTGATTGATTTTGCTTTATGCTAATGAAATTTTCTTGCCTTGAAAAAAAAAAATGAAAATATCAATTCTGCTTGCTAATAAATAAATTAGATTGACCCACATAATGTTTGGTAATCAAATTCTTAGTGCCTATGTTTGGGTTGTGTGAGAGGTAAGAGTGAAACTTGAGTAGGTTAGAGGTACAGTTTGAGCCGAATCCGATATATGAAATATTCAACTCTAACTCGACCTTCAACTCCAATTATTTAGCTGAAATCCAACTCATTCTTCTATTTTTAAACTCGAGTTTACAACTAAGATTTAGATTTCGGATTAGAAAGTTGAATTAATTTGAGTTACTCGTATGACCAATTTCTAAGCAAAAATTTTAATGTAATTTTGAGTCAATTTGATACTAAATTACTCCTAAACACAAAAGTTCTAAAAACTTATTGCAATATTTTAATAAATTACAAATAAATCCTTAGAAAATTAATTCTAAAAAATGAAAACACACAATAAATTAATATTTAAATAAAAAAAGTTGAAAAGAAAAAATGTGATAATAATTTGAATATTATATGTCATGTCTTTAAAATAATATATATATATATATATATATATATATATATAATAATTTTAGAATTCGGATTCCGGTTGGGCTTGAGTTGCTTGTAGATCAAAGCTCAACCCTATATATATATATATTTCACCTGGCAATTAGGGAAAAAAGCTCACCCCTAATTAAATTATGATTGAGACTACGAAAATCACACAATTCTTCTAAATATGTGTCGCTTTCACGCTTTGCGTGCGCTCTCACTCTAGTTCATATTTCGTGTGATGTAGATTTTGCCCTTTTTATGCTCTCGCTCACGCTCCCGCTCAAGTTTTCGAATTTGTTCTCTGTGACTTAAATTCCAACCCTAATTATAAAAATAATTACCCAAACCAGTAAGAAATTTGGCTAGACTCAATTTGGGCTCGAATTGTCCATCCCAAGTTGTACCCCTAATTGAGAGGAGACTGTAAATGGAGTCAGTATCACATGGAATGACATTTCTTTGTTAAATAATATTAGAATGCGGGTTCTAGTTAGACTCAAGTTGCTAGTACCTCAACCTAAGCTCAAAACCCCAATTAAATTCCGGTTGAGAGTTTTTAACCTAAGTCCAACCCTGATTATAAAAATAATTCTCTAAGCTAGTAGAAAATGAGGTTGTACTCGGTTTGTGCTCGAATTGTCCATCCTAAATTGCACCCCTTACTGAGAGGAGATTGTAGATAGAGTCAGTATCCACTTGGAATGACATTTCTAAGTTTAAATCATAACATGAAAAACTTTGGTCAATTGGTACCCCTCATATAAGAGCAAAATTTTGTTTACCGAGAAGAATGGAGGAGGTCTAGTGGTGTATTGTGGTTACTTTTAGGAAGTGGAGGGAATAATAATTACAAGTGGAAAAGAAGCAACTTTACGGAAAATGCCTTTGAGTTTTGAGGCAGAAACATGATGATGTCAAATAGTACGAGGCATGCATAGAAGGCAGCCCAATGAGCTGTATAAATAATTTAATGAACTTCATGATGCAAGTAAATGAAACAAGCCAAAGACAGAACTTTCATGAACAACTTCATGATGCAGGCAAATGAAACAAGCCAAGGACAGAACTTTCATGAGCAACTTCATGATGCAAGTAAATGAAACAAGCCAAAGACAGAACTTTCATGAACAACTTCATGATGCAAGTAAATGAAACAAGCCAAGGACAGAACAAGCATGAGCTAATTCACCTCAAACCACATATATATATATATATATATATATATTTCCTTTATTTACGAGTCAAAGTTCCTAATAGTACTCAGTCCACGTTTCAAATTTGAATTTAAAATTAAAAAAAAAATCAAAATTTAACTTATATTTAGGTTTTTTTTTTTTTTCTTGGTTAGTATAGTTAGTGGGGGTGGGGGAGGGGAATTGAACCTGGGACCGACAGGGTTGGAGGCTCTAAAGGTTTGGCCCTTTATCACTCCGGCAGTCAGGTAACACCACCACACCTATTATATTTAGTTGATTAACCTGAATTCAACATTTAAAGTGAGTAGTCCGGATTCTAAAGAAGAAAGTGCACCTAAAACAGAGGTGATCATGGAGCTCTACAAAGTAAACAACTCAAGGAAGAAATAAATCCATTTCCTAAAAGTTTATCTTGAGTGTTTCTGTACAAGCGGAGTTAAGGTCGCATGTATTTTACCCTCTTCAGATGCGAGTGTGAGTCCCTTAGCAGTGAGTTAGACCCAAAAGTTTATCTCGAGTACAATGTTTCGGTACCTTAAATTTGTAATTAGAGAAAACTTATTTCAAGTTTAAACTAAATTTCTTCCCACTTGATTTGATCAGATTGCAGGACTAAAGCTGGATGGGCAGGAAAGTTATTGATAAGTTAAGAACTCAGGTAATGGGAATTACAGTAGGTAAGAATAAGTCACATGCTTAAATTAGCTGACCTAATGAATGGAATATTTACCACTGCTAGCTTGTTAATAAATAAATTAGACTGCGAAAACCAGGCAAGGTTGGATCCTATGCTACAGTAATACAATATGTTGTACAATTTTTTTTTTTTTTTTTTTGTGCAAAAAGTATTACATTCAGTTCTAATACATTTGAACCATATTTCAAGATTAAAAGATATATTGAAATACGATTTAAGTGCGTCAGATTTTCTCGCAGTTGAAAATTAAATATATTGACGAGCATTCGAAGCGTGAGAACGACATCTGTTGAAAAAAATTATATGACTTAGGTCAAGATGACATGGAATGACATTTTCAAAGTTAAATCTCAAACTGTGCAGTTTTGTCAAGACTTCGAGTACAGTAGAGAATGGGGAGAGAAATAATGGAGGTGAGTATGGTTACTTTTAGGAAGTGGATGGAATAATTACAAATGGAAATTACATGAAGCTGAAATTGGAAGATATCTAATAGGATAAGAAATATATATATATATATATATATATATATCGATATAAGGTAGGCGATGAGTTGTACAATTCCATAGGGCAACTTGATGCAAGAAAATGAAACACGCCAAAGAAAGAACTTTCTTTCTTCGGCTCAAGCATGAGCTAATTGACCTCAAATCACATAAATATCCGAATTCTTATCAAGTTAACCCCTCCTGGTTAGTTGGGTTGGGGGAAGTGGGAAGTTTGTCAAAAGAACAATGAAGTGACAATGAGTTATGCCATCTTGACAATTATTATTATTACATATTTTTTTATTCGTGATTTCACTTCTAACTGTCTAACAATGACTTTTAATTAGTAACTATACAAATACACTCACTCTCTCTCCTTGAATACATAAATTGATATTCATATTCGTGACTTTTATTTCAACCAGAACTTTTATACATCGTGTGATTGGATGAAGCATCTTAAAGGAATGTATTTCTTTTCGTTTGCTTAGTAAAATAAATAATAGAAAGAATTGATAAAATAACACCCTTTTTCTTACTTTGTTAAAATGAAGAAAAACGGAAGTGTTATAGTCTTTTTATTAATACATCCTTATTATATACAATTATAAATAATAAATATTTATTTCAAATTTTTAGAAAAACTAAAAATGAAAATTACATAGTAGCCATTATTTTATCTCTCCTCTCATCTCTCTCCCCTCATCTCTCTCCCCTCAATTTTGGGCTGACAGAAAAATATGCATCATTAATAACTCAGCTTGGTCATTTATGCTAAATGCTGGCATTACTGCGACCACCATAGTTGATTTCTTCCTTAATAACTCAGCTTGGTCATTTTCCCCAAGCATCATCTCTACAATTCCTGAACGTAACTACTGAATCCACCATATCCACTCAGAAATCATAAAAAGTTATGCACTGCGTCACCAAGCACACTTCAAAACGCATGAAGTTCAGTCGCACGAAAAATCCTAGCTGAGTGGAATCTCTCGCAGTCTTCTTGTCGTCGTCCTCCCCCTCGTCCACCGGACTGAGTTTCCCTACCAATTAGGGATTGACCATCAGATTATGGCTTCAATACCCTCCATTAATGGCTAATTCTAGCTGTTAATTGTGTTTTCTGTTATGTTCCATATTTGGCCTAAGGCCCACTCCATGTAATTATCCTTTATTTTTATATATATATATATATTCTGTTTCTTCATATTTCGAAAAAAAAAAAAAGAAAAGAAAAGCGAAAGATTCTTCTAACAAACGCCCCCGCGCTACTTGCAATTAATATAGTGGTTAGTCCCAACTAAATTAACACTAATTGAGGTACCACCACGAAGACCCCAAACGGCTAATTGGCAGTATTCGGCACATATGCCATTTGGAGCTTTTTGGGGACACCTTTATTCCTCGAAACTGCTGCGAAGCTCTCTAATATTGAAAAAAGAGAGACCCAACCCCCAACACACACCACCCTCTCACAGTCTCACTCCCTCCTTTTTTCGGGTCTTGCAAGCGACTTTTCATCCTTCCCTTTCTTCCCATTACCTCATCCGTCTGATCCGATTCTCTCTGCCTATTATTTAACATTTCTTTTTTCCTTTCCCTTTTCTTTCCCCAAAAGTAAAAGGAGAATATTAGACAAAGTGGTCTCCCACCCACCTCATTAAACCAGTCAATACCTTATGCACCATACCTCTATTAAATTCTCACCCAAACAATCAATCTGATTCTCTTCTCCAACACTTCTCTAACCGACATTAAATTTCCACACGTTGTCAAATCTTTCTTCTCTAATCAAAATAAATGGTCATCAGTTCTGAATAAGGAACACCTATTGATTATCACAAACACCAGTCACAGAAGATACAGAGAAAATCAGGAGATGGGTTTTGTCACTTTACTGTTTCTCTCTTTACTTGCTTCTTTCTCCAGTAAGTTCTCCCAAAAATTGCTGATCTGGGGTTTGCTCATCTTTTGCATTCATGTGTGTGTGTGTATATATATTTATATATATGTATTTGTATAACTAATCTTTTTTTTTTTTTTTGTTGATTTGCAGGTGCAGAGATCTCAAACAAGCTCGGAGTAAACTATGGCCAGCTGGGAAATAACCTACCATCTCCATCAAAATCCGTAGAACTGATCAAAACCCTAAAAGCCAAACGCGTGAAGATCTACGATGCCAACCCAAAAATTCTCAAAGCCCTCAAGGACACCGACATTCAGGTCTCGGTCATGGTCCCGAACGAGATCATTGCCAACATTTCCACCAACCAAACACTCGCAGACCAGTGGGTCCACACAAATGTCGTCCCCTTCCACCCCGAAACCAAGATCCGATACATCCTCGTCGGGAACGAAATCATCAGCTCCACCGGCAAGCCGACGTGGCTGGCTCTCGTCCCGGCCATGCGCCGAATCCAGAGTTCGGTCAAATCTTTCCGCCTCAAAAAGATCAAAGTCGGCACGCCGTCGGCCATGGACGTGTTGGAATCGTCTTTCCCACCTTCGAACGGAACGTTTCGGTCCGATGTATCGAATTCGGTCATCAAGCCGTTGTTGCAGTTTCTGAATCGGACCAAATCGTTCTTTTTCTTGGATGTGTACCCGTTTTTTCCATGGGCTTCGGACCCAACCAATATAAAGCTCGACTATGCTCTGCTAAAGCGGACGAATATAACGTACACGGACCCGGGTACGGGCTTGACCTACACCAACTTGCTCGATCAAATGCTCGACGCTGTCATATTCGCCATGAAACGGATGGGTTATCCGGATATCCGTTTGTTCATAGCGGAAACGGGTTGGCCCAATGGTGGTGACATTGACCAGATCGGTTGCAATATTTACAATGCTGCCACTTACAATCGGAATGTTATAAAGAAGCTGACGGCTAAACCGGCGGGTGGGACACCAGCTCGACCGGGCACGGTTTTCCCGGCTTTTATTTTTGCCTTGTATAACGAGAACCAGAAGGGTGGGGCGGGTACGGAGCGGCATTTTGGGCTGTTGTACCCGGATGGGTCGAATATTTATGGGATTGATTTGTCGGGGGAGACACCGGAGTCGGAGTTCAAGGCATTGCCAGAGCCGACGAATAACGAGCCTTACAAAGGGAAGATATGGTGTGTGGCTGCTAAAAGGGCGAATGTGACCGAGTTGGCGGGAGCATTAACTTATGCATGTGGGCAGGGTAATCGGACCTGTGACCCGATTCAACCCGGGAAGAAGTGCTATAAACCGATTTCAGTGGCTTGGCATGCGAGTTATGCTTTTAGTTCTTACTGGGCTCAGTTTAAGAAGTTTGGTGGGACCTGTTACTTCAATGGGCTTGCTAGGCAAAGTGCTAAGGACCCAAGTAAGTTCCAACTTCCAACCCACATTCAATTCTTAATTAATTACTATTATTGGTTTGTTCTTTATGAAATTGTGTTCTTTCATTTAGTATTGGAACTAATTAATGAACCAGAATCATTTAGGCTACGTAAATTTTATTATATTTTGATGTTCGGTTATCGTAAAATATTTATGAAGAAAAAAAATAATAATAATAATTTTATTAATTTTTGACAAATTATTTTATATGCCTCGCCCGTTAGGTTCGGCCTCAATCTCAACTAACTACCGACAAAGTAAAAATAAAAAAATATTTTATCTGAAAAAAAAAAAAAATTTTACAAAAAGAATATTTTATGTTTGCCTTAATATATTTTCTTACATTAAGTTACATTAGATGTTTTGAGCTTTGTGTTTTTTATTCTCACACAAATTTGGCGAGTCAAGATGCTTCCAATGCAAATGGTTCTCAATCACTGACACTTGCTGGTTCAGTTAGTTCAATCTAGACTATCGGATTAAGAAAAATAACCTCACAAAAATTTATTAATATACTATAAAGAAAATTGAATATTAGTTTTTATAAAAGTAAAAAGTTGTAGCTTCAAGTTCCGGTAGTAAAATTCATTAATTTTGATTAAATTGGGCCACCAAGTTACACATGATTCAAGATCATGTAATAATTTGTCTGATACCTTGTCTCACATTCCAACTGTTTTTTTTTTTTTTTTCTTAAAAGAAAAAAAATGATACAAATGTTGTCACACAGTTACACTCCCAATGTTCTAAAGCACTCTTAATTTTTTAGGATGTTTGTCCGCTTACTTGTTTGAAAAAAAACAAACAATTGAATATTTTTTGAGACTGCAAATATTAGATGTAACTTATCTCCAAAGAAAAATATAATATATATATATATATATCTTATGAAATTTATTCTAATTTATTTATTTATTTATATATATTTGATGGGTTGGTTCTGCAGGTTTTGGATCTTGCAAATTCCCAAGTGTTTCTCTCTGAAGACGTGGCAAACATTTTTAGGAAGGGCAATTCATAAGAGAGGTTGTTACAATAATATATCTGCTCTTTCATTGATTCCTTCTCGGACAGCGACTTGGTCTCCCCCATTTATTTAAGACATAACATCAAAAGGTCTGCTTTATTACATGGGACATGCGTTCGCCAACTCTTTAATTTAGAGGGACACCTCACCAGCTAGAGGATTGAAATGGGTCCCCCAATTCACTATCCAATTGATGATGTCAGAGATTCTTTTGTTTTTGTTGGACCTTTCTTAATCAACTTTTGATTAGTATTATTAGTTATTGTGTTACTTATATAGAGGATGGTAACGGCTATAATTTTTGTTCTGGAGGATTGACCAACGGCTAGATTTGTGTGTTATATTCACTTATTTGTTAATGTCAAGAACACTTGCAACGGCTATATGTAGCTGTCTTCTTTTGTAGCTGGCACTGATATTATAGTAAAATAAAGTTGATATGTAATAAAGCAGCTTATTAATGACTTATTATTGCCTTTTTATTGTGGAAATTAAATACTCTTTCTATTTAAAAAAAAAATGTCCTATTTAAAGAATTGTAATTATTATTTTTTATTTTAAAAAATACGTTGTATTATATCTGTCACAAAAAAAAAAAAAAAATGTCGAGATGAAAAATAATACACTCTTCACTTCAAATGTTTAACCGATGAGTGACCTCTCACTTCTTTTGACGAGGACATGAAAGCAAGAGAGTTTGGGATTCAGTTAGATTAGCCCTTCAAGTACTATTTTTCTTGCAATGGGTTGATGAGGTATTGCATAAAACTAATTTGGGGAGAGAAAATCGGAAGGTAAAGGGTTGACATCGGCCGACGAAGATACAAAGTTTTGTGAGTCATACCCTATAGTAGTGGATCCCACTATGTTTGTTTTTTTGTCGAGGTGATTTGACCTATAAAACATTTTCCAAGCCAGAGAGGTGGATGTGGAGCTATGGAAGTGGACATTTTTTGTTTGTAGGGTCTGCAGGAGTGACGAAGTTCTACATGACACGATTTGTTAACATGACGCGAATAAGTGGATTTGAGATTGATTTTGAAGATTCATATTGTCTTAGGGGTAAGGATTCAACTAGGTAGCCTTTTTATTTTCATTTAATTATGAATAATTAGGTCATTTTAATATAAACCCTCACAAAAATACATACATTACTTTCTTAGTTGCCATTTATTTTTCACGTTACGCCTTAAGACTTTTAAATTATTAGTTACTTAAACACTTGGATCCTAACTACTTGGATATGAGAACATTTGATGCTTTCTTCTTTACTTTGACTATTTTGGTTATGCAATAACTAATTAAATTTGTATCTTTTAATTTACTATCTCACGATGACAGACTATTTAATAATTGAATTAGATTGGCACTGGTATTTTTATTTTTAGTATTTATTGTTTGATTGAAGATTATAAATGATGTAAATAATATAATATTTGATTTTGATAAATAAATTATTAAATAAGTTAATACATATAACTCGTTTAACAAATAAGTAAAATTAGTGTTAAGTTTTCCTTATTCTTGACCCGATTTTAAAATGACTCGTGTTCGAATTGATTTGCCTAGTAAAATACTATTAGATCGACACGTGCCACGCATTTTGGATTCCGTGATGCACAACAAAAATCAAAAAGTCATCAAAATACTCTATTTACTTCGATAATAGAGAAATGCACCTTCTAAGTGGGCGTTTGGCGTAAGTTGGATCAGGATTTGTCTGATTCTTGTATCAATTCAGACAGCTTCCCACCCATATAAATCCATAATTTATTACATTCGGATCCGATATGGGACTAGAACCTCTATCAACTTGCTTCTATTCTAATTTGAATAAAATTGAAGTAAACTGCTTGAGCTATTCACTTTTTTATTTTTTTTAATGAAAAATTAGAAAATCATGGTGTAATAAATAATAATTCAAAATTTGCAATAGAAAAGATCTGGGTGGCACTCGTATAGTCTTTTTTGTGCCAACATTTAAAAAGTTGTCAAACTATGCCAGACTAGACGGTTATCAAATTGCATTAATTTTCATTGTAATACTTACAATTTTTCCCTTAAAAATTACTCACAAATACCATTTAAATTACTCAAATACACCTTTCATAAATTTTACAGACAAAATTGCATTAAACCTCCCCAAACTATCCATATTTCTCTAAATACATCACTAAATTATTTTTTGTGCCAAGTAACTCCTTCAATTTAACATGGTAGTATGAGAAGTCATTGTTTCGGATTTCAATTGTAATCGTGCCCTTGTCGAATGGTGTAGACACATGCTGTGTCAGCTAATATTTTGTCTGGATGTAAAATATTTTTTAAAAAATATTTTTATTTTTACTTTTTGGTATTTGGTTGTCGTAAAATATTTACAAAGAAAAAAAATATTAAAATTTAACAAAAAATAACTTATCCATCAATTTTCGGTAAGTTATTTTACATGCCCTGCCAAATGGACTCAACATCAGTCTCGATGTAGACGAATGTCAAACACCGTCAAAATAAAAACATAAGAATATTTTACCTGAAAAATAAAAATATTTTTCAAAAAGAATATTTTACATCGAAATATATGGAGCCTAAATTAAATTGGTTTAGATTACTTATAAAAAAAATGACAACAAATTAATATGTTACATTTTTATTAATTTAAAATACCAACAACGCCATAAGCATGGTGCAACCATTATCTTTCCAAACCTCACTATAAACAAAGTTGAAACTTAAACCACAAATTTTTGACTGAAACCAAAAAAAAAAAAAAAATCATTCAACCAATCATCTAAAATAATAAATTCCAAAAGTAGAAATTACAAAAATCGCCTCTTACTATTCAGTCAATCATTCAACCATTTTAAAATACTCTCAGGAAGGAAGGAGAGAAATATATGTAAAAGTAAATCAAAACAATATTATTAATTTGGGGATGCATAATATTCTAATTACACTCAACCCCCTCACGTAGATAGAGAAAGTAACCTAATGATTAATTTGGAGAAACTTTACTCCAATTAAAAAATTAAGATAATGGTGGGTTGAGGGACATCGTGAATGTTGCAACCATTCCTCAATCATTACTAAATGCTCTTATATTGATTTGGTCAACCATCATATCATATGATGTTGCAATATGTGATTATATGTGTCTCGCGATAAATTAAGGATGGTTTTGAGAGACCTAACGCCACTATCATTTTTTAAAAAATTATCCTCATCCAAAACCCTTCCATCCATCAATTAGCTTCTTCATCGAGAGAACTCCGGCAACGAAGATGGTTTTGGCAGCCCCGTGTGTAGGAGGAGCTGGCCGCTTGTTGTGGAAGTTCCTTCGAGGGGCAACCCGGGTGAGGACCACCGGGCTTTTTGCACGGGTCAGGGTCATCAGCCGCGTGGTTTAGCACTACCATGCTGATGAGAACCAAACACAAGAGCCATGGCTTCATGTTGCAATGTCCCATGAATGTTTCTTCTTATAATTAATCTCTATATGAATATGGTGGTTTTTCTTTGTGTTGTGCAATGGCTCATAGGTTCAGTGTGTGATTATATAGGTTTTGGAGAAACTTTAAATAGCTTTTCTAAGAATAAATGTGTGGTTGAGTTGACAATTAGGAAATATTAGTTACTAACTAATAAATTGAAACTACTAGAATACTAGTACTAGTTTGTCACAATTTTTTTAAATTAGATATTTGGATTTTAATTAGTAAATAATTGTTATTATTTAAGAAACTAAAAATAGTATGTAATGAGTTTCTATTTTTAAATTAATCTATATTAATAATTAGTTTTTAGTATCTAGCAGTTACTTAATAATTAATACACGTAATTATATCTTTATATATATATATCAATTATATATATATATATATAATTTTGATGATAATAAATTATTCGTGGTGTTTAGTATTAATGTGTATATAGAGTGTTGTTCTATATGATCACATAATCCAACCGGCTCTGTTTCTAACTCAGTCTGCTGAGTTTGTAACTCAGTCGGTTGGTTATGTGAACCAGTCGACTGGTTCTCCCGGGCGCTGTTTTCTTCATCTTCGGCCACTGTAGTTCATTCTGTTCTCTTTCGTTACAGGTCCTAATCATGCATTCTAAGTCCCAATTGATTTCATTAACTATTTTCCATCAATTACACACGATTAGAGCAAGAAAGACAAAGGTGGGCTTTGGTCTGTCCTTTGAATTTGCTTTGGGCTGTTTATTTGGGCTCCGCCCGCCCTATGTAATTTCTTTCTTTGTCACATTTGAATTACCAAAAAAAAATTACCAATTTCATATATATATATATATAAAATTTTGGGAACAATTTTCTATTCTTAGAAATTATCACGTATATATATACGTGATAATTTCTAAGAACAAAATATAAAACCTATTAGTTTCTTTAAACCCGGACAACCGCATAGTAGTTCGATAAGGTAGCCAACTAAAGAATTCTATAAATTTTGAATCATAATTAAAAGAGCTACTCCAGTTAAAAGTTAAAAATTAAGAGTGACGTGGTGATAACTGATATTGCTAGCTTTCCTCAAACATGAAAAATTGTTCTTACAAGATAGGCACTTCATATATACTTATAATAATGCTAGTTATATCAAATTGGATGAACCATGATAATATAATTAACTATGTGTCCGTGGTGAATTATTGAGATAGTCTCCTCCATGGGACCATGATGAAGTCATTTAAAATGTTCATTTGGCTTACTCGAAACAACCCTTAATTCCATCCATTAATTAGCTCCTCCATTGGGAGAACTCCGGCAACGAAGATGGTTCGGGCAGCCACGTGTGTAGAGGTTGGCTTGTTTTGGAAGGCTCTTCGACGGACAACCCGGATGAGGACCACCGGGCTTTTTGCACGGGTCAACATCGTCGGCGGCGTGGTTTAGCACCACCATGCTGATGATGAGAACCAAACACAAGAGCCATGACTTCATGTTACAATGTCCCATGAATATATGCTTATTCTTATAATCTCTATATATGAATAATTGGTGGTTTTTCTTTGTGGTGTGCAATGGCTCCTAGGGTTCAGTGTTTAATTATATAGGTTTTGAAGGAACAGTTAATGGCTTTAAATAGCTTTTCTAAGAATAATTGTGGTCGGGTTGAGATTATTAACAATTGAAAACTAGTATTAGTTATTAACTAATAAATTTTAACTAATACTAATACTAGTTTGTTAGATTTTTTTATTTATTAGTAATTGTATTTTTTTTTGAAAGGTAATTAGTAAATAATTGTTATCATTAATTTAGTAAGTAACTAAAAGTTGTATGTGCTGAGTTTCTGTTTTTAAATTCCTATATATATCGATAATTAGTATTTAGTATCTAACAGGTATTTAATAATTAATACAC